AAGCACAGCAGTTTCCAGAATCTAACAGTTGCTTTTCTAAACAAGAGCAGATGCCAGATACTAGTCAAACTGAGTGTTAATTGAGTGCAGTACTTCAGTCATTTAGAAGCATGGTACCCGATATACCATTTCCCTCAGAAGTGCGTGCTATTTTAGGCTTAATGTCATCTACGGGAGCTCTAAAGACAGATACAGTGAGTACATTTAAAGAGCACTGTCAAAACTAAGCTGGCAGACATGAAAGTTGAGCCACTCTTCACTGGGAATTTTAAGAGAAACTCCCCTGTTAAGCATCCACTTCATCTAGAGGTTGGGAGGCAGGGCAAATACTGTTTGCAGAATGGGACTGACTTCATGCACCACGACAGAGCGAGCTTCCAGATGTCAAATTACAGCACAGTGCACACACAAAGGCAGGCACAAGAAACCCCAAGTTAGCCAGCTTATAAATTTGCAATTTCTGTTTAGTTACGAGTAATTTTTTAACATTAGATGACCTTTATTAGAGGCTTGATACATAGATATTGCCGAAATGAACTGTAAGACTGCTCCCTGTCCTGACACTTTCTGAGGCAGAAGCAATACTGGAAAACCAGGGAGATGAGATTACGTGCGAAATTTCTTGTCCAATTTCTTTTGTCACGGAGGACCACAAATTTAAAAATCACTTTTTCCAGCATCTCCCTCAATCTCAGCTTTCAAACACTGGCTTTAATTCACAGTAAAGACCCAACTTTAAAAATGGATGCAAGTTAAGAGCATTCCATAATTAAAGTTCGTTAAAAGACTTTTCCCTCTGGCTCTCACATTTGGAAAAAAAAACACCTTACAGCATCTTTGAGTCTGCCAAGGCCTTTTCTTCTCCAAAAGAGCAGATTGTATAGTGGAAGAATCCTTATTCATATCTGGAATGAGCTGTCATTCCAAACCTGATTACAAGACTGGCCCAAGAAATTCCTGAAGTCCCAGGATGCATTTATGGGGATAAGGCATTCACTTTTCCCAAGCACAAGCCTTCTAAAACTCAGTGAGCCGATCATATCAAAATACTTGTCTGTTTTGAGTAAAAAAGCCAATAATAACTGATTAAAACTCTTCATCTATAACGAGTGATAATGGTTTTGATAGACACGTACGATCTACGGAACAGAATGTGAGTTCAATTTACCGACTGGCATTCTTTGGATTCGACAAACAGAAAAAAACCCCCTTGGTTTAGTAAACAGGATACTTAGGTATTTCCCATCCTTCTGTCAGCTGTGGATTCTCATTTAATAAAGGCTGTCCCAGTTTATCGAGACAAAAATTGGTAAAATACAGAACACTTCCTACAACCTGTAGAAAAAAAGTCAGAAAATTGTCAGAAATGTGTCAGTATTTCAGTCAGATTGGTAGCATTTTTATAAATTTACACTGCTTGAAATACTTCCTAGGTTATTTCCCCCGCTCTGTAAGACTTTACAATTAACACACACCCACACCTGTACAAATAAGTATTTTTTCTGCTGATGTAGCCAAAACATGCTGAATTTGACTGCTGTTATACCGATAAATTAAATTTAACAAGATCTTATTTTAATGGCAGTGTATATTGAATACGTAGAATGAAGAGTCAGACCTACCATTGACGAATACATAGTCAAAAACTTACACTAAAAGCTTCTTTAACTTTTTTAACAGAATTCAAGCTTGCTGTTTTACAGTCCTCTTCCAGAAGAACACTGGAAGGCTGACAGGAAAAATACAAATAATTAATTTAAAAGGTACAGAACATGGAATACAGCTTCTTTCCTCTACAGAATATTAGTTGAACAGTAGGATGGAGATGCCTACATTAGTCTTAACGCTTTCCGCTGTCCACAGCATGACACAGCTCATTTCTAATGTTTTTTGCTTTGATGAGAAATACGCTGCATAAGAACATCTTTATTCTTATCTCAAAAGCAAGATGGAGAGAAATGTACCATTTCATCCTTTTATTCAAAGTGAATGTTAAGTAAAACTCAAAATTTTGAACTACAAGAACAAAGTGGAAATTTCTGGATTCTGTTGCTCATCTATACTGTTACATACACCCAAATTTGGGCCAAATACTAATCAGAAGAGGATACGTGAAGTTGGCACCTTATGGCCTTCTCTTTGATTATTTAACCCAACTTATTACTTCGCTTTTACACAAATTTCACTAGCAATAGTTGTAAAGTGCATTTTCCCGGACAGAAAGTGTATTTTCTTTGTCCTGGTCCTCTATTTTCAGACCAAAGAGTTATACAACGTTTGATAGTTACATAATTTGCAATAAAAAAAACCTCTAGAATTTAGCTATTTAGCAGTGCAGTATTTTGATATTCTCACTATAAAGACACAAGAGAAGAAGCACCTAACAACAATTGGAATTTTAAAGTACCTGTGGCTTAACATTGAAGTGTGTTTTTTCTTGTTCACCTCTCTTCTGCTCTTCATATTTCTGAACTAAATTAAAAATAAAATCTTCAATTTCTTGATGATACTGCCTGTAACGGAGTGAAGAAGTTTACAGAGATGATGACATGAGCAAGACTGAAACACAGGCCAGATGTCTTGGCTTGTTTTTAGCATTTATCCCTTACTAAAGAACTCAGAAACACTTGTTTCCTGTCCTCCTCCCAACCCTCAGCAACCTGAATGCAATCTATTATTAGATTAGGGTGGCAAAAAATCAACTCAGAGGCAGGGAATATTTAATTTGCAGTATTTACCCACAGCACTCCTGAAACTTTGATATTCAGACGCCCTACAAGTTCCCGGAGGCTACACTTAATTCATCATAAAAAACAGATATTACTAACGAAAGCAACTTTCTCCCCTTCAAGCTTAACAAGTTTATGTTATTGAATAAAACATATTCATCCTTTGGACAAACACCAACATATCCAAACAACAACAACAATAAAAGACCCATTTTCTACCAGGATTGCTTTTTCTTAGAAAGTACTTACTTAGAAATTACATTGTTCATAAATAAAATCTGTAACAGAGGTCCATCAACTTTGGAGTTCTCCACTGACATTCCACTAGAAGAACAGAACAGAGACACAGACAACAGTTACTTCATTAGCTGTACTATAACTATTCCCCATCGTTTTTATCATAGAAATGAGTCTGTAGCCCACAGAGGAAGGTTTGTCCAATACAAGTTGTGTTCTTTTAATAAGTTCTTTTTCACTGAAAAAGAAATCATCCTCTTCCAAGCAAAGCATGTTGCCCAATGTAAAGTGGAAGGGAAAAAAAACAAAACAAGGCCACCACACTACAGAGATTTTCTTCTAATTGCAGGAAATTGTTATAAAATGTATAAGATCTCTTATTTATTCAACCATTCTAACGTCCTTGTTCTCACTAAACTTTACAGAAAACTGTTTCCCTAAAACATAAGTTTCATAAAGAGATAGATACACATAAATAAAGTAAGCTACAGCAATACAAACCAAGTTCTTGATACTCAAATCTAAAGATCTTTTCAAGAACGATGATGGCATTTTAGAAGTCCAGCATTTGAGCAGGGACATAGAAACAAGGTTTCTAAAAGATGTGGCAGACATCGTTACCTCAGACTGCTACTATCTCAGACAAACTATTTCAAACACGTATAGGTCATATAAAGTGGTTTAAGTCAGCTTTAACATACCTAGGACGAGTCAGAATATTCAGCTTCCTTTTCAGTTCCTGATGTTAATTTATTGTTAAGGAACATTACTTTCTTCAGAAGACACAGACCCACACTTTAATTGACTAAAGGATCAAAACAAGAAAACGCTGAACAAAAATTCCACAGAATAACCAATGGGGTTTCAGAGCTTCCTTTTCACCGCACAGAGGATTATTTACAAACTCATCTATTGGTGAAGAATCACAATAAAATGGAAAAAAAACCCAAACAGCTCACAAACAAAAAACAGATGAAACAAAGGTCTCTCCGTGACAATCCAAATAATACAATTCATTACATGCACTATGGGTGACATGAAATCATCCTACAAAACCTGACTACAATCTTCATTATAAAAGTCAACAGTAAGACACATATACTTGCAAACAGAAAATAAACTATAGGAAAAATTTCAGGTTCCACTCTGCTGCAGTTTCAGACCTCAAAACCCTTTAGGGAATGAGTCACGATTTAACAGTTGAAAATTATTTCTAGCTACGTTAGAAATGGTTTTTCACAGCGAACGTGCAGCTGTTTCTCCTCTCTAGAGGGAGAGAAAGGAGTCGTCCGGCGTCCGACTCTGAATGCTCATCCCAGCACTCGAGCTCCACCACCGCCTTTGCCAAACGAAGCGAGGCTGGCATGGGCTTGGGTGTTCTGAGGATTGAGGTTTTCAGAGAAAACTTCCTCTTAAGCGACAGAAAAAAAACCTTGCCAGGGTAGGGCTGCC